GTCGCGATTCGTCGAGCTTAGGATGCACGGATTGAGATGACACTTCAAAGCGGCGACACGCAGATATGTTTACGGCGATTCGGTGAGTTATGGCAGAATTAATGACACCTTTGTTGATACGCGTGAAAGATTTCGTGACGGAGAATTATCCTAATTGAATCGTTACTATTCAAACAGCTGGTTATTTATTTTCTCGCGTCGTACTGTTGAGTATCGTTACTTTGTCGCATTCGAACTCGATGACACCTGAAAAACAACGTTTTCCGAAGTTTGGAACGTGTTTTTATGGAGACATTGCGAATGATTTTTAAATGTTTCTTTCCGTACGATAAGAAATCCTTCTTTGGCGTACCGATCGTCTGCGATAAGAATTGAATATGTAAATTCGATATCTGGAATAAATTAAAAACTGTATGACTCGTTACACTTGCACGGCTATTTAATTAAACAAACAGTACAAGTTACTGTGGTTTCTCAAAAATATTGTAATTTATAGATTTTATAGAGAATATAAAATACTTGGGTCTTTTATGCAGCCAACCTATAAAAAGATTAGATTTCTCTCTACTTTTTTATATAATTTCAATGATTATAAAAAATATTTAAATTCATAATTGTTTACCATCACTTTTATAAGTAACCTTTAAAGAAATCGCTGTTTCCATACAAATTTGAATAAAGAAAAATTGTACAGGTATATATATATATATAAACTTATATGTTTACAACAAACGTAGGAGAAAGTTGTGAAATTTTATAAAGTAGTACATTTTGTAAATTTATATTTCCATTAATTTCGACCAATTGTAAGTTTATGGTTAATAAGGTATCTTATCAGAGTCTCACCTGACAAGAACGATTCTGATTCATTCCACGAATGGTGACTCGAGTCTAGGAATGTACGTCATGGAAATCCTCGGAATGGCAGAGTTGCCCCCATAGTCTCACCTTCGCGTTCGACCTCGGAGAGGACTCTTCTCATCAATAGTAGAAATACTGGAAATACTGGATTTTTCACGGAGATCGTGCCGCTGTGTATTACGACTGGTGCCACATAGTCTGCGCCGTTAGAAATTTTCCTCGTTACCCTACCTGCCCCCCTCGCGACGCGCCTACCACTGGGACGCTGCTTAACATTTTCTTCGTTGCGTGACGACTGCTGGGAAATTTAAATTTTAATCTATCCCACGAGTTCCAACGGCTCGAATGCCTGCATATCGAAGTACGATCGAACGTTTACTTGTAACGTCCGCATTTTCCCTTGACAAAAATTAATTGTCAGAGGAAACTGCGACATTGTTGCTAATTATGCAGTTACGCAGTCTTGATATTCTGGGCCACGTGAAAATTTGTAATTAATCATTACTCTTATACTTTTATATGGTTATAATTAATCCAGGACAAAGTGGAACTTTAGAGGTATACATTTTGTGTGGCTACAACAAATTAAGTTGAATTGATATTCGAATACCAGAATTCGAACAACAACATTCCGATATTAATATTCAGGTACTGGTATTCAAATAATAGTGGACAAAGACTAGTATTCGAATGACAATATTTAGATGCTGATTGTCGAATAATAATGCGCAAATACTGACATTCGAATATTTGTATTTAGCTAATAATATGTAAATAATGATATTCCAATACCGGTATTCAAATAACAATATTAAATGTACTGCTATTCGAATACCAAGATACGTGAAACGGATTTACAAATACAAAATCGTTCAAAGGCCGCGTTGCTTTCATCCCGCACATAATTTTACATCAACAGCAATGTTATCAATCTAGCAAAGAATGTTTCACTTTCTACAGTCCATAAACTTTCTCGAAGATTGCCGTACTGAAAGCGTCCGTATTTATCGCGAGCCGTTAATTCCCGTCCCGGATTGAAACATCGAATCAAGGTTGTTATTTCCCTCTATCAGTGTTGCAGATTTACGACAGCGAAAAGAGGAAATCGGGAAACGTAGAAATTAAGACTAACGACGGAGAGCGTGGTAGGTTGTAAATAATAACCCAGTTGCGTACACGAGCTGCGTGCGGTAAGCCGCTGCAACAGCTTGCGTAATGCGAATATTGAATCTCGTGTTACCGGAGCACAGGTGAACATCAGCGACCAAGCTACCAATGATTGTTAGGGACTTTCGTTGTTTGTTCGATTTAACCCTTCCTGGGTCGTAGGTATATTTAACCTTTCCTTGGTTCATAGATATATCTAAAATTATACGACGCACAATCAACAGATATCAACCTATAAATACAACTTGGCAATTAACCGAGCAGTTCCAATGGTTTCAATTGACGACGAAGTGAGTTAATCACAGGAACGAAATTTCGATATCCTAACATACATATCGAATACTTGTCAATTTTTTAATCAAGACTGTAGCTAGAAATACACTAAATTACCAACGACTCGATGAAATAACGAATTTTTCCATTCTCCGTGTTATAATTTGACGGTGCCTTACCCAATAATCGTTCATCTTCTTCACGATGCTAAAATTTTGTTTTTTTGCTCAATTGGGAACTATGTGATCGAACATTTCTAGTAGTTCTTTTTTTAACCTTGTCGAATATAAAAATCTCGTTCAGATTGATTTTCTTCGACACCTGAAATACATGAATTTGTGTAGTTCTTCGATCCAACGCCCTGTCGCCCACATATGAGTTAGGTCAACGTGTCAAGCAAGTGTCGAGGACACCTTACATGTATAAAAAGTCACGCCTTCGACCCGTTAATCAAAAAGCTAAGCATTTTAAATTCGAATACCCTATTCAATTTGAATTTCTTCGTCGCCTTAACTTCGCATATAATTTGTTTATCGTGATTTTACCGACACACTTCCCCCCCCCCTCCCCCCACACACACACTTTCCACGAAGGTCAAAGAAGGTATGCTTCAATTCTACCGTTAAATTTGCATGACGTGTGACTCCGCGTATTTATCACCCAGCATTTGGAGAGCTGTACGTCAAACTCATAATGCACGAGGCGAGGCACAAAAAACGCAGTCAACTCGGGTTTCGTGGTTTAATTGCAGCGCGGCCACCGCGGAAGCTTCGAATGAATACTTGACCGAGTGCAGAATGCTCGACTTCACACACGCAAACGATTCTTGAAAATTAATTCACGTTGCGAGCGATTCTGGAACGCGATGGAAATGAGTCAACCTTGTGATGCCACTTATGACGCCACTCGTGCTACATTTCTCTGATAAAGGGACGTTGCAAATGTTTAACGGGAAATTTATAGGAAAGCTCGGAAATCGTTGTGCAATTTAACTGCAGCGTGTGGCTAGAAAAGTTTTTTTTTTTTTTTTTTTTTGTCTAATTTAAAATGTGTAACAGCTATTATAATAACTAATTACTCGATAAAGAGGCCAACTAAAGTGCGTAAGTATAAAGATAATTACAGATTTAGAAGAATAGAGTTGTATCGAATTCTGGAAGTTTTGTTGATCAAGTAAATGATTGTAAGTGAGTTAGTGAATTTTATTCATAAGGGTGCGAAGTGATACAACTTGACTATGACACCTAATGTACGAGTTTTGCACTCCTTCGTTCTTTCATTCATTTAGTTCTTGCTTTAGATTACTTTGGATTTGCATTTGCTTGCATACCACTCTTCGTAGTTCCCTGACATCCCTATTGGAAATGTTCGGAGCCCATTGTCCTCCCTATAGCTCGGTTACCTCGGGGTTGTTAAACCCATACTGTAGCTACAATCGAACATAGCTACAGCCTCTGAGGGCTAATTTGTTGACCAAGTTGAATGATCTCTTTGATACCAACTCTTACATTACTCGCGTAGAAACTATTCTGTTATATTAATTGCATCGAAGCTGCGATCGATATCATTATCTCAATTCCAATATCATCAACTTCTTATTCTTAAAGAAATATTAAAGCAACGATGTCCTATCAAAAAATCACAGTGCAATAATTATTCGACTTATTGATACCTTTTAAAACAATAAACTTTACTCTAAAATAAAGAGTTCTCTTTCTCATTACTTTCTCTTTCTCTTACTTTCTCATTAAGAAACAAAATCACAACGGTCCCTTTACGAATCTCTTTATTTGCAGTCGTCCAATGAATGTCTCGCGAGAGGTTTGCTCTAAAACACGCACAATACTCTGTTAGAAATGCAAAATGAAATAGGAACATCACGCAGAGCAGTAGTTCGACATTCCGGGCACAGAAGTATTATTAACGTATCTGGATGGAGATAGAATCGTGAATTAGCTACACGTTGCAATTTGTCGACCGTAATTTGTTTCCACCGCTAATTATCTCGTACATGTTTTCCTTATCTGTCAGATGCGATCCCGCAGCGTCCCGTGCTTTCAATCTGTGCCGCTGCTAATAGTAACATTCTGTATATCGTCGTACGCGACCGTGGACCGTAATCGTGCGAAATTTATTTGAATATCATCAATCATGGGGAGATCGCGATTCGGTTGCGCGATAGAAATTGAAATCTTGCAGGTGCAACAGCAAATACCAGTCGTGGCTCGAGACACGTTTCCTTCGAGCATAACCTTGCGTACTACGCGCACAGTTCGAGGAACAGCCTTTAACCGAGAATTCAAAGAGAAACGGTTTAAATTTTATCCTTCTTTTTTTTTTTTTTTTGTTTAAATAAAACTGGAATGTTTTGGGACTGTTGCAGCATAATAAAAAGTCAGAGGTTTTGTTGTAAAAAGTTTTACGAAGTAAATAAAATTGTATATTTATATGGGCTATATTCATACTTGACGGTATAATATCGTAATTGAAATTTGTATTTTTATATCGTATGGGTTGTATCTAAATTAGAACTTTTATGTATTTTCCGCTATTGGAACACGAAAGCTTTTATTATAGTAATTTTAACTATTTTGACAGAGCTCATTGAAGAAGTTTCGTGATTGTTGCGATTTTATTTCATTCGCACTTAAACTCAAGAAAATTAGAACTCATCACGTTTTTTTTATTGATTGTTTCAGGTTACCACAGCTTGCCGTTTTAGCGAAGATTTTGTGCCTCCTGATGGTGAGTACCTCCACCAAGTATTACCATTTTCTAAATAGCAATATTAAACCACTAACAGTCCTTTACGGAATCGATTAAAATCCAAATTTTTAAACTTTTAAATTTGAATTATATCAAAATAAACGCCTTGCGAGTTGTCTACAAAAAAAAAGTTGACCCATAGAGGATTAAATTAACGAAGAATCCTTATAAACAACTGATTACGGAAAACATTAATAATAAGTACCACCTACAGTGTTTCAAGATACGCCATTGTCCCGCATTACCTTCAAAACAAATGCAAAATGCGACGCCTATTGCCACAACCGACAAAGCACCGGCGATATAAATTTCCACGATGGAAAAACGAATTCCGTATATAGCCCTCGTGTAACTTCTGTATCGAGGAGAGATACGATCGCTCCACTTCCCCTCAATTACGTTCAAAAAAGGATTCCAGTCGTCTAGAGTGTTTTCGCGTTGTATCCATAGTTTAAGGGAACTACCGCTGACCCAGTTGGGTTGCCTTTAACGAGCCGTGTAAAATTTGAACGAGGGCTTTGGCCGCGTTCGTGCGGATTCCGTAAACTTCCATACTTAACTTATTCGATGGATACGTAAGCGGATACGTGCCAGATCTTTGTGTTCCAGCGGTGACTAGGTCAGATCAAAGATACACGTTGCACGAAGAGGTCGAGGATCGCGTGCTCCGAGTCGATCCCGCGACTCTGTACAGCCCTTCCGCCTAAGACTTTCGCGATATTCGGGGGGATGAATGTAGGGGATCGACGTTACGTGGAAATTTTCACAACATGATTGACACTTTAAAAAAAAAAGTTCAAAGCAAAGGCTTTTTCTAAGGGAACTTTGCGATTTTGTTTTTTTTTTTAACGAAACACAGTGTATAAATTTGTACACGGTAAAGGTGCTGGCAGGTGACCCATTAATGCTCGAAGAAGTTTTCCAGAAATTTAAAGCGTGAAATTTACAAAGCTTTCGAACCTGATGATTCCGATCTAAACGAAACTCTGTGCGAATGTAAAGCATGTTATACAAAAGACCAATTTCTCTTTCTTGCAATCTTTCTTATAATCTTATAATGTAACATTTATTCTTGTATCTAAAGATCTTATTACTACAGCTAGCTACTTATTTAGCAGTTTGCAAAAATATGAACTCGTGTATACCACTTTGATATTCGCTTGTATAATTATTGACTCTCTTTCTGGTTCAAGTCGCTTGAAATATCATCAAAACCTCCCGCGTGACATCTGTAGCGTCCCCTTACATGACCGAATCGACGATTACGTCGGTGCGCACCTTACCTGCCATATATTAATGGCCAGCGCTTCCACTCCTACGCACTCGCGAGACCAACAGTTTATATGGCCGACAATGGTCGGCGGTTTCGAGCTCTTTGATTCCTTGTCGTGTACATTCATCTCTCTGTCCATGTAGGAAATGACGAATCACATACACACTTCAAAGTCTACGGATATTTCGCGTGGCGCCACATCGAATGTTTTATTTCATAATTTTCGTCTCCCACGCTTTCCTCAAAACTAGCATCTCCGTTTAACGTAAACGGTGTACTTTCTATGTCTTAAAGGACTAAGGACTTCTTTGGAAATTTCAAAAACCGACATCTCTCGATTTTGCTATTCTCTTCAGCTGCGACATTTCGCAACTCGCTAGACTGCGAATTTTTATGCATTTATGACAAATGAAGATATGAAGGAATCTATGAGAACGTCCATAAATGTTGAAGTATGTAAAATATCATTGATGAAATATACGTTGTACTGTATAGATAATAGGACAAACTTTTATTTAAGTACTTTCTCTGTATCTACGAAAAAGTTGAGAGTCGAAAGAATTGAACGAAAGTTCTTTGGAGTGAAGAATCAAAACTCGACATTAGATAAACAATTTGGTGCATTCGTTGGTTCCCAACGAAACGATCTTATTGAATATCTGGGGTCAGTTATACTTATTGTTAAATGGATCTCTAAAAGTCTAACTGACCCTCCACCGTGCTCGATCGTGGCCACCGCAACAACATCTTTTATTACACTAGGAAGAATGCAAATTACGCATCTCGACTCCAGCGCATCGATTTTCGATTCATCGATCCAAAAGAATTTTCGTTCATTCATCAAAGATCCAATTCTTGCGACTCTTGGCTCATTCTAACCGTTTCTTACCATTTTTCGACAATGGTAATGGTTCTCTGACGGTTACGCGATCATTTAAACCGCTGGCATTCAATCACCTTTTTATCGAGGTGAGCGACACAGAGTTGAATCCATTATTTATTCCCACGAAACGTTGCTTCGCCGTGGAATTGAATTGCAATGGGCGCTTTCATGCGAAATAATCAATTTTTCTTTAAAAATTTGCAATTCGCTCGAATTCAGGTTTGCGGTTTCGGGATGAAACGATAACGAGTCTGGTGACACAAGGTCAAAGGAAATTAGAGCCTGGAATTCTGTCAATCGCGTCGAGTAATTTTTGTTAACGGAAGTGACGTGTATAGAAAATACACGGGCGTGGAAAACTGTCACAGCGACCAACGTGTTAAGAGGTTATTGTGCACACATGCTACGTGCATATATGTACGTACGTCGCGTGCAGCAATCGCTTTGCTATAAAAAGCCTTAACCGCAACCGTATACGTAGCATTTAGAGGATAGGAAAGTGGCAGATTGATAACGGTCAGCCTTAGCCGCAGCTTCAAACGCGATCAGCTTCCAAGAGAAATTGCAGTTAGTTTCAGGTAATACCTGAGAACTCTGAATTAAATCAGCGTTTCTCAAACCGGGGATCACGAGTGCTCAGAAAGTACTTCTACGCCTTTTCGTAGTTCGAAGCTTGAAAAAATACCGTGTAAGTGATCCCATGTAGAAAGTCTCGTTGTTGTGCAAGTTACGAGTTATATTAGTGCCAGTGGCACATTAGAGAATTATTGTGCGTTATGAAACTTCACGTTACTTGCGTTAACATTGAATTAATTGTTTCTGTATACTTCAAACATTGTAATATTATTCCGTATGTAATGATTCACATCGGTTTGCGAGCAATTCTCGTCGTTTTTAGTTTCGTTTATTACTAAATTTAAATAATTTCATTAACCAAAATAAAGCGAAACTCGTATTGAAGAATATCAGCAAAAGGGAAGTAAAATGTAAATAATGACAATATTTTATAATAATAAGTACGCTTTGTGGCTTTCTGTCAGTACACTGATCTACTTCGTACGTCACTTTCATTCAATTCGTTACTACTTACAGTCTTCAATAATAATTTTATTTCAATACGTCATTACTGCTACCGCGTCACATATTACGTTTCTAATATTTTCAAAATAAAAATGATCGAAATTCAATTTCCAATCATTCCAAATCAAATTCATCAAATCAACCAACCCTCTGGAACCCTATGGATGCGAAAAAGTTATTCGACTAAAATGAAAATAATTTCGTGTCGACGTTCGATAATGAAAGTATCGCAGCACCTACGTCAGTTGTTTTCGGGGTTTATAGAGGGCTGTCTGGTCATCGTAGCATTGTTACGGCGCCACACGACAAATAAAATATCGCCACATTCTGTCGCCATTAATGGACAGCTCGTGTTCGCTCGTTAACAAATCTCGCCGTCGGTATCCATCTTTTGTAGTCTCGCCTGTAACGACGTTCTTCTATCTTTCTCCGATACCGCGCATTTTTACTCCTCCAAATGAACTGCAAAAAGGAGCTGCGCGAACGACACGGCGAATAATTCGATGCTGCGTTATGCGAATCGCCCCTAAAAATGTTCTTGTTGGCGGTCGTGAAAGAGTCGCGGCGTCCTTAACGATTTCGCATTCGGTCATCGAACTGAAAACACGTCTCGCCCATGTTTATTTATCTTTTCGTCCTTTTGAGAATCCTAAAGATCACCAATCCCTTCTGGCGATGACGACGTCGTTGCTCGTTTAACAAATAACAAATTAACTCGTTCGGTGCACGGGGAAACTTGAACGGGATTGTTGTAAATTGTTGCATTCCAAATGAAAAGGTAGTATTTATTATGCAACGGAGCCTACCATTAGTATCGATGTGTCTTTTGTTGTTAAGTAATCTTTAGTAAAATCTATATTTCTCTCATTGAAAATAAATTCCTTAAAAAATCCTTGGCACTCCTTCAAGGCTTCACCCTCTTTCACCAAAGAATCCAGAGAAAGAGTACAGAGAATAGAACATCGTTAAAGATCCACATCAAAAATCTCTCGTTGAATTCTTTGAATCGCATATTGACCAGCCTAATACACTCGATATTTATAATTGTTTGCTGTGCTGGATTAGGTTATGGCCCTTATCTCTCTTCGTTCATTGTTGTTTATCTTGTCCAAATAATAGAAAAAAAAATATTTGCGATTGCAGGTCTAGGGTAAATCGTCAGGTCTAGGTATATATGGGTTAGGTCACAGCCTTATCTCATTTGCCTTCCGCTACCAAGCGTGAACCACTTCCAAGCTTCCATGCAGTTGTATCTCATCCAACTAATAAAACAAAAATATTTACAGTTGCAGGTCTAGGCTAAATTGTCAGGTCTTGGTGTATATCTGGGTTAGGTCAGAGTCTTATCTCGTTCGTTTTCACTACCGAACGTGTTATACCTCTTCCAAACTGTAATTTCATCAACTCCGACTATAATAAAGGAGCAGAAATATTTACAAGAACGACATAGAATATGTCGGATGAAATATTACAGTTTGCGATTAAAATGTTAGATTCGAATTATTAGATTTTCCCGAAAGTTTCTTTCGCGAGTTGCACTCAATTATTTTGTGTGATTGTGTTTATATAAATAGACAATCTATCGGGCTGTCTGGAAAGTCCATGGCGATTTTTAGTAGGCGGTACAGGTCTGAATATATATCGGAATCGGTGAAAACAAATAATACGTGTACATTCCTTAACGGGTGGAAAGGTTGTGGAACAAAATGGTACATATATAATTCAATAAATATAAATCAAAATTCAAATATGCCTTTGAAGTTCTCTTAAAAATAGGCATGAACTTTCCGGACGACCCAATAATTTCATAGATATTCATGTTGTAACAGTAATGGAGCAAAATGAATTGTGCACGATTGCGTAATGTAACATGAAACATGAATTATCGTGCATGCATTTCTTATTAATAAAGCGAAAGAAACTTTTGGGACAACCTAATGCATCCCAAATTATGTCTGCTTTAGAACTTTGAATCTTTTTTAGGTAAGGGCCTTATCTTACTGTGAATCCTTTCTTTCGAGCTGCGATTTCACTTTTTCCAATTAATTAAACACTACTATTTACAATTTCAGGTGGTGATGTGCGGGGCGGTGCCGGCAATGGTGCGCTCCGTGAGTCTCTACTCAACTTGTAGCAGCGGCAATGTTACCGTAATTGGCCGCTCAATCAAGGCCATGGGACGCGACGATCACAATGCACCCTACCGTAAGTAAGCTTGTAATTAATCACACTGTCCCAGCGAATCATGAACAGGACTAAAAAAAATCTGAATTATTTCACCTATTTTTGTTGCTTGTCATCCGTTTCACTAACGTCGGGGAAAAAGAGTTCTCCGAGTAATTCCGAGACACGATTGCATGTAAAGGTTTCTTTTAAAAGAGTCCCTTGATCTTTAATAACAATTTATTTCATAGTTCAAAGAATGATATTATCATTCAGTATCTAACATGAAGACATTAGATAAATAAGCAGAAAAGTTACCGTTGTCAATAGCATTTAATAAAATAATTATTCAACGTTCTGTCACTTTTGGACTGTTACGAAGTATTACGCATGAATCGATCAAATATCAATATCGATTGTACTTATTCCGTCTGATTGCTATTTCCTCCATTTCAAGAATGACCAAAACAAAATTGTGGAAAACATTCGAAATAAAACGTTTAATTAAAAGTGATTCCCCATATCGTACGTCTTCTATTTTATAAAATCCAAACATATATTATCCGGATCAATTACACAATTTATTTTCCTGCTATCTTGAACATTATCCGAGAGTCGGAGAAAATTTTTAGTTCCACATCGTGCGTCATCCGCATTAAATATTATCTGAACGTACGGTCGGGGAAAATGTGTAATTTGTAGTTCCACGCGATACGTGCTCCTATTTGTAAGAACGCTATTCATGACTATTCTAATGTCGGTGAGAATGTGTTCATAAATTAACGGACGTCGTTGCGGCAATAAGAGGGTAACGATCACAGGCTAGGTTAATAATATCGGTATCATGCCATACGTCAAACAGGACATTATTAATAGGTTGGCCGTGCAAAATTTATTGCCGCGAGTTGGAAATAAGGCCAGCCACGCGACACCGCCATTTAAGCAGCTTCCGAATAAATTCATCGTCGCAACGTGTGAGGTCACTGCACAGGACAGGTCGATTGGTTAATCGAATCGAATCGGGCAGTCGACCGACACAGGCCACTCGACCGTGACGTTATCTTCCCCGATCGATAGTTGCCTAGACTAATAAGGATTCCAAGCAAAAGAGTGGCGAACTCCTCAAAGAAATAAACGTCTGAAGCTATGGCCACTAAAGATCTAAATTTATAGCGATCCTTATCGATCGACTAGGGTCAGGGCCTTATCTCGTTCGCTTTCGCTACCAAAGCGCCACCGTGGCTTCCAGGCTACAGTTTTATCGCCTCCAATTAATAACCGAGCTCCATTTCCGCGGATCGGGAGAAAGGAACGAAAGGAGTAAAAGAAAGTGGCCATTGAAAACAGCGGATGAATTACACGGGGGAAATGTTTACAATAAACGTTCGTTGGCAATGGGAGCGAATTGGCTTTCTTAGCTGAAAGTATCCTGTCTATGAATTTGCAAGGTGTTTTAAGACGCTTGAAATTCCATAAGAAGCTTCCATAAGAGTCTTTCGTGAACAAAATTCAGGTAAAATCTTTGGAGTAAAAGTTCGTTTTCTATAGGAATGAATCGGCATCTTTAGATAAAATATACGCTGCTGTAATTTCATATACCTCGGTTACTTCATCTCACGGAACAAGAGATTGTCCACCATTGCTAATATTAAAGTTACTCGGTATATTTCGAATTCGATTTCTAGGCGAACGACCCTGAACCCTACTAGCTAGAGGCGCGACGACGCTCCTAATAAATCAGCATGAAAACGGGTACAAGCTCGGTTCCTCCACAGTCAAAGACGAGATAAACAGTGTCTAGTCGAAAACAATCGCGACGAAACGAGGCGACGGGACGCTGTAATTCATCCTGAGTTTTCGATGGCCGTTTTCTTTTACTCCTTTCGTTCCTTTCTCTCGGTCTGCGTTAGTCGACCCCGCGGAAATAGAGCTGGGTTATTAGTTGGAGGAGATAAAACTGCAGCTCGGAAGCCAGGCTCTTGTCAACAAACTTTTAGTACAAAGATTTACCAAGTTTACGCCCGTGAATAGCAGGCTCTATAAAGTGGAAACTTGCGGAGCCCTAGATGTCTCTAAACACCTTGTAAAATGGAAAATTCATGGATAGGATACATCAGGTCAGAAGTACGTCAACTACCAGCACGTCAACTATTACATCAGACTCATATTTCTGATTAGTACAGCAATAAATGAAACAATCGTTTAAGAGCATGTAATGGCGACGATATTAGGTAGACTGGAAAGTAATGTTTCTTTTACATTAAATTCAAATAAATTTTTGATAAATTTCTATTTTTAAGCAACTATGTAATCGTCCTCGTTATCAACAGCCACCCAGTGTGCAAATTTTCAATGACCGATAAAAATCAACGAGCCTGTTGAGTGATAAACAAGGATTTAACATTGCAAAAACGACATTACTTTCCAGTCTACTTGATACGTATCTAATAGATAGTAGAAATCCCCGCTTTACATTGAATTTTGTTAGAATCGAATAGAACGATTTCATGACGGATTACGACACTTCAACGTTTCCTATTATATAGATGAATATGAATGAATGATTGACACAGTAACTCACATAAATTTCTGGAAATGCGTAAGGGTGACGTAGTAAAGTAGTAAAAATTGTAAACACAGTGTCGAGCGTGGTATTTCTTGGAATAAATCGTCAACAATCAACTTTACATAGTTTGTCATCGATATTTAACGAGTTCCTTTCGAACGATTTTCACGAAACTTGGTATGGCAGGGGTATTCGGGATCGATGATTTTAAATCTGAACTAAAAAATTATAAATACAAAATGGTGAGTTCAATATGGCGGATGAAAATGCGAAAAGTGATTCGATTTGAATGAAACTTGGTATGCAAGGGTTTTCTGGATCGCTGATCCTAATCCGACCTCGAACTTTGGACATTCAAAATGGCGAATACAATATGCCGGGAAAAAATTCAAAAATTCAAAATGTAAAATGAAAAAATTCATAGACCGGATATCTTAGAAGGACAATACGTATTTGTTCCATTGTAAATAAAGATTTATTCCAAAGATTCCACGGATTCTCCCCCAAGAAAAGCGGACTCCAGTGGAAACTTGCGAAATTAGTACGGCTGCGAACGCGTTGAAGTGATTCACAGAGATTCGACTGGCGGCCTTCAATTTCGCGAATGCTGGTTCCCGGCTTTCCGGCGATGGGCACGATCGTTAGCACCATTACGTGCCAACACGATTTCACGGTAACGTCGAATTTTCGTGTCCGTAGCCGGTGCCGGGAACGAGCTGTCCGCCCTATCCACGGCGCGAGTGCGAGGCGGCTCCTCTTCTGACTCTCGTCAGGTTTGAGAAGGGGGGAAAAGGAAGGTCTGAAAGGAGGGAAGAAGGCTTGTGCAAACAGAGGAGCCAGTTTTCGCGTCGCACGCTGCGCCGCGTCTGCACCTCCCCGAGATCCATCACTTTCGGTCCACCTCTTCCTCCTTTTTCCACCTCCTGCGTCTCACGCTGCCACCGTTCCTGCTCCGCCGCCACCTTTTCCTTCAGCTACTCGCGGCCCTTGCCATCTCTCGGCACTTTACTCGGCGCAACGAGCCTCTCCTGACCAGCGATTACTCAAGCTCCGTTCGCTGAAACGGACCGTACCCGGTCCACTCGTATCCGCGCGAGGGTTTCAGACACCGTGAGAGCGTCCTTGAAGCTCTGAATTCAGACTGTCGAGCGGCGAACCGACTTCGTGGATTCCCTCCCGAGAGCCGGCGGACCCGAGGGATAATTAGCTACGCGTAGGGAATTGTTTGTTTGCGTACTCGCCGCTAATTAGTCACCGCGACTTGGCGAATCTGCTTTACGACGGGCCCGGTCGTGTCGGTTCGTACGCCACGAAATCGCGATAGTTAATTAACGAGCGGAGAACCGAGCTCGCAGACCATGGGAGCGAGTGGATCTCGAAGAGATCTAGAATTATTTACACTCGTGCGATATTGTCTTCTAGATTTTACGTTAATAATGTAATTATCCTTCAACTTCCGGTTTGTATATTTTGAAGAGCGTTTGGTCTATTGGACTCACTATTGCACTTAATACACGTGCGTACGTGGATAGTTCGTATATACTTTTTTTTTTTATCGCTGATTGTACTATCTTTTGACTTTTCTTATTCCTAGCTTTGATTTCTATTATACACGCGAATCTTCTCTTCGGCATACAATTTCTCGATGATACATTACAATTACTTATTAATCGAATAAAGCAAGAAGCATACGACGTAATTTGCTGAAAGTCAACATTTATCCTGTATAAACTTAATCAGTACCTTTGCATTACATTATATTATATCTATACTAATTGACTTTGAGGCAAATGGTACGTAGTTACTGGCTTTTCATTATTCGATTAAAAAGCGCAGTACCAATCGTCGAGACGTTCAACAGTTGTAATTACACGGATCCTCGTGGCATTCATATCGCATTAGACGGCCTTAATTGGTTCACGGAGAACCTCCATTCTTCCTAAACGGTTAACATCACGCGCAGTCACGATATGACACCCTCGTAAGTAAGAGAAACAGACAGAGACGACGAGCCACGTCGAGAAACGAAGGGAGAGAGAAACGTCGGCCACGACAGCATTCGTTCAGCCTGGAATTTAATTATTCTAGTCTCGAAGAGCCGTGATTATCGCGTCAGTCGAGCAAATCAGGGCTGCGCCCGTCGTAGCTTTGATCCATGCTTGGACAACCGGCTCGTTCCTTTATTTGTAGCTCGTTGTAATCTTGGGCGCTCACGATACTCCGCTCCATGGAAACATGGAACCTTTTCCATGGGGATGGATACTCCGGAACATGGAAAAGGCTCCCAATCGGTGCGTTTAGGTGTTAACGACGAGATCGTCATTATACGTGGCAGGCTCATAACAAGAGTCGCGGTTATACGGGTCTTTCCCTTCCTTTTCTGCCCCCTTTTCCCTTGTTCCACTGGTACTGGCTCGCTTTCGCGTTATATTATAGCTTTCATAACGTCCACGTCGCGAAATTGTGGCGATCCAGTGGTTCTCAAGCACTCGTTTGTCTTGGGAAAAATATTTACCCTTGGTGCACGTCGATGACTTGCGTCCGACTTGTACCTGAGTTGTCGCTTTACTTGGCGTGCGTGTAAATAACAAGTATTGCACTGATTGCACAAGAACGTTACGTTTTCAATTTTCGAAGAACGTAACATTTTTTGTGTTAGAAACACGCTCTTCTATTTTGTTTACTATTAAAAAGCATCTAAAATTAGTTCCTTTACGCCGGTAACATTTCTTTGTACGGAAAATACGATTTCTTATTTTGTTTACTATTAGAACACATGAAATTAATTACTTCACGCCCATAGTTAATGTGTTTACGTCACAAAAGTTATTCAGTTCGCCATTTTCGCCGTTAGTTTTCCACCTTCCCTCGCTTCCTGCAAAGCGACGAACCATCCTCCGAGAAGAAGCCCTCGGGGGCCCCAAGTTTTCTGTTGAAGAAAGCTATTAGTTGCGAACCTGTAACGAAGGAAGAATCGGTTTCTGTATCGCGAGGAGCACGTAGAAGTAATATATGGGATCCATTCTTCTTTCCCTCTGTCTCGCTCTTTCCTACTTACGAGCTGGGCCCATCCTACCAGTTATTATCGGGGGTAATCGTGCCTAAAAGCCGGTGCCCGCTTTTGATTAAAATTGGCTTTTAATTCATTTGGCAGCCTCTAATCTCGTGGCGGCTTCGATCAGAGGGAACGAGAGCCCAGGGGGGAGGGGGAACGATCGAGGAACGGAAGACAGAGATCTGAAGCGAAAAATTTAGTCGCTTCATCTTCGTCTCCTACCTTCTCACCCTATGCTTCGCTTTCTTGTGCATTCGCCGAATATGAGAGTCTATCATAAATATACGCCACCCTATTCTATTATCTGTTGGTACCCTACAAAATATTCATAGAAATCCTTTATTGCGAGTCTAATACAAGCTCGCTTTAAAAATATTACTTATTTTTACTTGGAATTGTACGTATTTCTAATGCGACCGAACACGTGACCAGTCTTAACCTCATGCAGTCTTGGCCACGTGTGTGGACGTTTAGTTTGTTGTAATTATAATTACTGACAATATTAAGAAGAACAAAAATTTGATGATAACAAATAGAAAAATATCATCCCTGGAGAGGTTAAAGACACACGTTTCAATTGAATGCAAAAATGTTTCACGTGATGCTAAATTGAATAATGCATGAAACAATTGTATACGATCCATAGAAAAGTTTGAAAACGGTCGTTCGATCGGTCGTGGCAGATTTAGTGTTAATCATTAAGATCGATTCTTTCCTCGATATGTTATCAATTTTCCAGTATGTCCTAGTTTCCCATAAATAATATCAGGCGCAGAAATTAATTCTGCGTCACTATATTCAATTCGCTTACAAAGCAATCCTGTTCTAACCACTTGACGTGGCAGGTTACGTCTGGCAAGTTACTGGAAATGTATACAAATGTATATGCTCATCATCTGGACCGCCATGGTCCAACGGTCTCACTCCCCTCATTCGATAACGATAACCATCGTTCGAAACGGAAAACCGTCGAAGTTTCGTCGCGATTGCCTCGACGGCGACTCGCTATAGGAAGTACAGTAGTTCTGTAATGGGTAACTGGAACGAACAAACAGGGTGCACGTATCATCTTCCAAGTCGGTGGCATTAGTTTTGGGTTGTTATCGTCGTACTTTGATTCCTACTTCGCAGGTACGTCGTGTTTCAAACGGGCGAGCGGAAGAAGGACATTTCTGGCAATAGTTTCGATCTTGGATCGCCGTACTTGTGACAGAACTTTGTCGTTGATATCATCTCTTGCATTTCCGCATCGAATGAGAGTATATCGAAGACGTGCGTGATCAAGCACTATCCACTTGACACCTTGACTATTTTTTTGCCTGCGAAGATGAATTTCTATGGTGAAATAAATTTGAGTGAAAATGAATTAAGGTTTCATAAATCGCTATTAAAAAAGCAAAAATACAGAACTAATACTAAAACTTTTGCTTTTTAAAATGTAAAAGTAAACAGAATATATCTTTACACTAATTTCTGTGTAAAATTCCATTATATCATCTGTGAGAGTTGACGAGTTAAAGTATTGACAGAATTTTCTGAAGATAATTTGCCCTAGGGAAAATAGCGTCGAATGTAAGGGATTGGTACTATTCTAGAATCTTGGAATCTAATTTTCCTATCACATATTAGCGATTAATCAACTGTGAAATGAAATCCTTTCACGCCATCTATAAGTTCTCAGTTAGTCATCCCTAGTGCGAATGGCGTCAAGCGCAAAGGGTTTGGTTAATAGTGTAGAATCTGGTAATCTAATTTCCCTATCGAACTAGCAATCGCCTACCCATCGAAATTCGACACGTGTAAGACATATGGACCCCAATTGTGAGCCGATTAATTCTCGCGTATCCGGATAAGATGGATTAGAAGTAGAAGAAAAAAAAAAAACAAATTGCTTGGGCGGCTGAGGATGACGCCATTGCGATAGACATCCGCTGAAAGGTGAATCCAATTAATTAAGGAAAGTGCCGCAATTAATTGGCGCTGGCTATAGACACTATGGTAGGTTTGTCAGAGAGCAGTCTCAGATTAAGTCCTCTCTTGCTTTTTCTCGTTCCTGAAGGCTGGTAGGAGGCTGGGACAGAAAAAGAAATGTAAAAGAAAAACGAAAGAGGAAAAGAGAGGTGGACCAGGCGGGAAAAGGAGAGAACTTTACGAGGCAGTTCGGGGACATTCTTGATTTCGATGTTGGGAAGGCACCCGACGAGAACCACTTGAATTTAACGAGGCTCCAGCAAATGGGCCACCCTGCAGACTTACCTCCTTCCTTTTCTCTACGCATGATGCTTATACCCACACGAGTGTGGCCACCAAACGAAGGAAGAAACACTCGTGATCGTGACATCGTACCTTTTACTTCCCAACCGTCTATCAATTAAGAAACCTTATTTCATAACATTCAAAAAATTAATTATTGCCTTCGACGTCCATGAATTAAATTGTAACTTTCGGATGCTCGATGCGGAGAATTATCCACCAATGCGCGACACTTCCACCGGTCCTTCAAGCCTATCAAATGAGAAATCTTATTTCGTCACAACCAAAAAATTAATTATTTCTCTCGATGCCTATATATGGAATACCGTACATGGTATCGAATACCCGGTACAGAGAATTTTATCTCAATGCGCGACACTTACATTGGCCCATCGTGCATCTATTAATTAAGGTGTCTTCTTTCAAAATATTCAAAAAGTTCATCATTCCTTTCGACGTCCGTACATGGAATTGTAACTTTCGAATACCCGGTACAAAGACTTTTCTCAAATGAACTCTTTTAATACGAAAAATAATAATTAATATAAAAACATGTCGAGGTGTTTCACTTGTTTGATTCCAATCGTGTGTACTGAAAATAAAGAAAGAATACTACAACTTTCCAAGAACAAGTAAATAAAACTCTAAAAGGAAATAGAACGTTTCAACAACAATAAATTATGAAAAACGTGAACAATAGCAATTTTAAATTGAATTTGGCGCTTCTGAAATATATTCTTTTAATTGCAACCGTGTGTACAAAGTCGGAAAAATTCCATACCGTTTGTGTTTGATTAAAAAAAGAAACCCTAAAGGCCCTTTTGAGGAACCCTTTGCACGGGCGTATCAATTACAAAGAAGGTTATAACTCGCATTCCTTTGCGATGGAAAGCAGGCAAATTTCCGCGGTGCACCTGTAGACCGGCGTTTTCCTTCTTTTTCTTTGGTTATACGAAACAAAAGACGCCTGCTTCTCGGTCGGCAGAATTTCGTAATAGCGGGTGTGAAAGAAAAAGGGAGACACGCGGTTGCATTGAGCGTAGCGCAACGTGCACTTCGGGGTCGAGGCACGACAGGATCCGCTAAGTGGAAAAGTACACACCAGTCGGTCTGTGCCACCTTCATTAGCACCAACTAGCCCCGGCGGTAGGCTTAGCCAACCTTTTCTTCTTCTCTCAGTTCCCAACAGTGCCTGGAAGAGGGCCTCCGAGCGTCCATGTAGCTACAACTCGCGCCATAAACGCGACGAGATCTCTTCTCAGAAATATGCCAACTCGCATACTGAACCACAAAACGGTTTGTCCACAGCATCCTCTCATTTGTCCCCCCCGACAATTCTTCTCTTTGGATAGTTCTCCGTTACCTTCGTAAAGTTTTTTGCAAAATCTTCGAAAACCGCTGCTTGTATAGGGTCTTCCATTAAGAGGTTTAAGTCGAATTAATTGTAGATTTAGATTAGATTTAGTATCGTCCAACGATAGGTTACATACAATTTCTTTCTTCACTTCTTAATCATTTTGCGAATACCGTCGGTTGATAACTTAACGTAAGAAAGATTCAGGAATAAAATGGAAGAAAACTCTTATTATTCTTCTTTCATATTCTGCTAATCAAGATACAATTGTATAATTACAAACGATAATTTATTCGTTCGATTTTCTAATCGAATTTCATCACTGTTTATGTTGCAGAAAAACTTACGACGCAGTCCGAAGATTTCAGTGGGAAGATATACATCTTCGCTGAAAAGAGTCAACGATACATTTGCTTTAACAAGCAGTGGAAACTTGTCGGCCTGGTAATTACTTGACTTTAAATTAAAAAATACATCAAAATGCCAAGATCAATGATTTATGCAGCCATTCCTCGATATACGTGGCACTCCATACCGTGCCATACAGCAAACTAACGGAGAAACCTCGTTAAATATAATTTAAACATTCGACACGCTCATGAATTTTCCTTCCTTACAAAATTGTACTTTCTTAAACAAAAAGGGATCAAGTAACAAACATTGCTACTTATAAAGAGACTGTGGGATAAATTTTCCAAGATACGTAAAGCGAGATTACTTATATCAAGGAATAGGTGTATTATTAAACGATATTAAGGTCTATTTGAGAGATTTTGGAATTTTACGATAAAGCGAGACCCTTATCCATTTGTATTGACGATCACAATGTCAATGAGTAATCTAACCTCTAATATTGACAAACACAATATCAGCGTGTAATTTGAGTCTGATGATCTCTCCCAATATCAGAGTGACATTTGAACCTTGATATTGATGATCGCAATATCGGTATGTCGTTTGGTCCCTGAAGAAGCTACCAGCAATGCGATATTTTATCCAAAGAACTTCTCTACAAGAGCCACGTAACAAACCCCGAAATATCCATCAATCTAGATCATCGTAGACGATTAAGAGAGATCTATCGATCTGTTTCCAGACTAAGAAGCAAAAGGGTCTCATGTGCCAGTTCTACGAGCTCTACAACGGATCCTATCTGAGGTACAGAAGCGCGGCGGACAGCTCGCGGTATTTAGGCTTCAACAAGTTTGGCAAGCCGATGAAGAATCTCCGCGGTCGGCAGGAGTGCTTTAACTTCATCAAGTATAACCCCCATGCCGACATAAACCACCATAACAGCCTGGTGAACGCGGACATGGGCGGTGTGGATCCACGGGATCCGTACTTTGGATCGAAGAAGTCCTCGCCGGTGATGAGGGCCACGAAGAACTCCCTGTTGCAGGTCGACAGTACGAGGGAGATCATCCATACGACGCATCGTTATCGGCATTCGAATCGTTGGAAGATGCGCCAGGAAGGGAAGGTCTCCGCGCCACGAAGACGACACGATAGCCGTCTGTTCGTCGAGACCAGCAAGTATTGAGCCGCGTATTGGCTCGCCGATCAAGACTGCCTCCTCCATACCTGTGAGAACCTGAGATCAGACTGCCAAATACGCTGGTAGAACGTACGGTCTGGATATCAGGAACCCACAAAATGCGGCATCACCTGAAACGCGGCTCGAAGCACGCGCCTCGATTGATCGCAACGAATAAAGCTGGCTCGCCTTTACGTCTCCTGCTAGCTCGAGTACATTCCTCCAACCGACGGCGATTCGCTAGAAGGTAAACAACGAACACGTACCGCGGGAAAGGGTGTACGAACTCGCAGGACGATAGTCTCACCGGATATATAGCTTTCGTTACGCGTCATTAGATTCTATTTCACACTTGCCCCGACTGAATCCTTTCAGGCAAGTACGATAATCATTATTTCCCTTTCGTTCCATCGCTAAAATTTTTCTACGCATTCGGTTGACAGCGATTCGTCATCGATCATTTCTCTTTCATTTTCACACGATAATAAAATGAACGAAAAAGAACAAAAAGAAAAAAAAAATGAACAGACAACAAGAATATACTAAACCGGGGGAAAAGCAGACAGAGCCGCGAGAGAATGTAAATTTGTTAGAGACACTAGCGCCAGTTCGTTTAGCGGTGGAAGAAGTATACGTTGCGCACGCGATCGGCCTAAATCGTTGCACAATCGGACAGCTGTCGTGCTTCTAACGCTGTCACAAAACCGCAATAGATGCGCGGAGAGGTGCCGCGAACAGCGCACGCCGACGGAATCGTTACCTTCGGATCGAATTTCGACGCGAAACGGATAAATTTAATCGAATAACAAATTTATTAATCAACGCGATTCGTCGCGTTGAGAGAGACGCAATGGTCGCAGGATCCAGTCGTGTAGCTCCAAAGTTAACCCCTTGGCCTACAAGTGGTAATCGTGGTACCACTGGTACCACTGGTAGACTCGGGTCAAACACGAAAAGCACGGTTCAGGCACGTCGTAGGAAAGTGCGGTAAGCGACTCTATTTCGAAACGGTAGGACAAGGGGTTGAAGCGACGCAACGTGTCCGGTCGTATTGGTCCGAAGTTAAAGCGAGAAATTCGTCCGACGCGCAGACTTTTCTAGCGTTGGCGCATGCGCTGAGCGTCGACTCTTCCGCACGCTCGCGCAGTAGAGCTCGTGCCGCGCAAACTCTCTCGCTCGCTGTGCTAATTATGCCGCCTAATGTAGCGTGTGTGCGTGCATGCGTGGCTGCCTGCCTGCCTGCCTGCTGCTTGCCTGCCTGCGTGTATGAATATAATGTGTGCGTGCGTGCGTGCGTGCTTGCGTACGTGCTCGCGACGTACACGCAGTTCTCACTGTCGCGTCGATATTGAAGTTCGGGGCGCGGTTGTATTCAGAATTGCTATTTTATCAACGACTGCTCCACACACCGAAATAACTTTTTACCCTTCTATTTATATATATAGAGAGAAAGAGAGAGAGAGAGAGAGAGAGAAAGAGAGAAAAAAAAGTAAGTACGACATGCGCATTATGAACGTCGTGTGAAAGAACGCATTGTCGGTTACTTCCAACGCACACACACACACACACACACACACACACACATACATACATACATACATACATACATACATACATACATACATACA